CTACACTTACCAACTAAAAAGTAACAACGGCCTTCAAGTCGAACTCATACACCATATGCTGCTCGTCTTAGAAACTTAACATCAGGAAAACTAAAAAAGCTTTTCAAATAAATTTTTTTTCCCTTAAAAGAATATATAATGGCACACGAAAATTAATAGAAGATAGGATACTAACTTTATTAATAACATTTTAAATTATTGTAAACATTCAAAATTCACTAAAAATTCACTATTAGTTTTGCGACAGCCGATTTGTATATGTATTTGAAAAGCTTTTTTAGTTTTCCTGATATTAAGATTCTAAGACGCCCAGCATAGGGTGTGCTAATCGGTTGTTGCGCAGTGTAAATCGTTTTCAGCAAACTGTCGTCTTTTTTTCTGCCCTTCGAATTAATTTTTGCTTTTGCCAAAAACACATTTAACTGCTTTCCGCGCTATATTCGCAGTATAATAGCCTTAAGCTATTAGAGGTATCTCCAAAGAGTACAAAAGCAGCTGATGGTAGGCTGCCTAGGGGAAACGCCAACAACAGGACTTTACAGCTGATCAGCTGTTGATCGCACTAAATCCCCAAATGTTGCAAAGATCGGTAGCTAAAGAGGTAACTTTTCTTACGCTAGATACCTTTCATCTTTCAAGATATCTGCTCCTAATGAGGTTTTCTAAAGCATATGTTCTGGTGATTTTTGACCGCGTAGGAGGTGGATCTAAGTCTTGTAACAAGTGCTGATAGTGTGATTCTGTCCAGAGTAGTACCTCTTACTCGACCTGAAGATCCATATCATCCAACTTTTGAGGTGACAATTGACACAGGTACCGCAATAAAAGAGAAATCAGAGAAGTCAACCAGATGAATTCATTGTTTTCGGAAGTTAATTTTTCTGAGGCTAAATACTTTTGGATTCTGGATAAATAATCTGGATTTAATTGGTCCGATATTTACTTCTGCAACATAATGGCGGATGCCATTTACCTAAGAATTGTAAAGTCCAGACTTTATGCAATATTTAAAGATACCTGTTCTCAGTATATCTTTTCTAAATATGTAAATGCTCGTTTAAATTTTACCATGCCTAATGGTCAGGGTTAGAACTATTTAAACCGCTGTAAGTTCTAGATTCAAGGTAAGCTCTCACATAGCCGGCAAAGCTCTGCACATTGGCAGGGGCCGCTATGAAGCGTTTTCTATGTAAGCTTTTAAGACAGTTTGATTTTTATTACAATAAAGAGCGGTCGCTCATAAATCCTACTCCAGCGAACGCTGCATTCATTGAATTGGTTGTCTAGCCTCAAGGGCGGATAATAACGGAGAAAGTTCTCCCACCGTAAACTGATCATACTAACGGTTCTAGCGTCCCAGAAGAAGATCTCCGACAAGCAGCCCTAGCAGAGCGGCCGACTGACGTCCTCACCCCCCTTCCTCAAGGGGCACGGCGCGGGACTTCACACACGGCTCTGCCTGAAGAACCCAACTAATGGAATCCACGACACCAAAATATGTAAGTGAGCTTCTATACCCAGATTTTTTTTTTAAATGCTGTTCTTTGAGACTCACCTTATAAACAAGTATAATTCCCAAGTACCAGGATATCAGTTCTACTTCACAAATCAAACGATAGCAAGGCCAATTTATGCACCGGTATATTACTTATATAACGCATTAAACACTTTTTGAACAATTCTGAAAAGTAATATTTTTATTCTCACTCTGACCAATCTCCCAATCTCTGAGAAGAAATTCTTGGAGGTCTTCAATTCACTAGGTGGGAGATTTGTGGCAGCCGGCGACTACAACGCCAAGCACACGCACTGGGGTTCTCGTCTTGTAACCACAAAGGGAAGGAAGCTATACAATGTGATCATCAAGCATCAAGCTGGACTACGTTTCTCCAAGGGCGTCATCATACTGGCCAGCACATTCTAAAAAGCTGCCAGACATAATTGATTTGGCTATCACTAAAAGGATTCCTCGAAGTCTAATACCTGAGTCACTTCCAGATTTCTCATATGATAACTATCCAGTCTTACTTAAGCTTATGCACCAGACACAGCAATTGAGCGGATGTATAAGCTTACAAGCTATAGAACAAGGTACAAAAAATTATTATCCCACATTGAACCATCTACAGGAATAGAAAATAAGGCGTATAATGATATACTTCGGTCAATACTTGTTGAAGCTGCAAAGGCCTCAGCTTCGCCAGAAACATCTAAGCACAACAGAACCAAATGGGAAATTTAACAGCTTGTCCAGGGAAAACTACAGCATCACAGTGGCAGCATCTTAGATCACCGCAACACGAGAAACAGCTTAAAGGTAGCCACACGCAGTCTTACCGAAGGCTTTAAACTAGAAAAATAAATTGCCCTGTTTCCGTACATTGAAAAACTGTCGAGCCAGTTTGTTTGCTAAATACCTAGAAAAATATTTCAGCCGAGGCCACCTCATTTATTTTTCCGTCGTCAACTGGCATTTATCCACCTTTGAATCTATCCACTTTCCAATTGAATTAAGCGATGTGCTCAAAGAAATAAAACCCGGAAAATCGACAGGACATGACAGATAACCCCTAAAATGATAATAGATCTTTCACTATGTGCCATACTAAAGTTGGATACTTTCCCCAAGGGTGGAAAAGGTCAATTATAATAATGATTCCCAAAACTCAGCTGCTCCAGATATCCAAAAAGGGCATCTGCGCAACTAGCACGACGTTTGGTGGCTGCAGAAAGATGGTTTGCAGATTGGCGCATTAAAATAAATAAATAAATTAAAATAAATAAAACAAACCTTACCGCCCATAGCATTGAGGAAACCTATCTGAAAACCCACTTAGATAGGTGGCTCACCTGGCGCAGCACATAGAATCCAAGAAGGCACATTAAAAACTAAAAGCAGTTGGCCTCCATTGGCTTATCAAAGTCTAAAAGCTTCTCAAAGTAATGTAGAAAATATCCAAAGAGCACAGTCGAAGATCCGCGAACTATTACTGGGGCTCCGTGGTATCGAAAAAGTTCACAGCGACAACGGAGTGAAACTGATAAATACAACTTCCAAATAAGTGTTTTTTGTTTTACGGAACAAATCGTCTAGTTTGCAAACAACTACTTGCAGGCCACATATATAAACGTACAACTAGGAAATGACAATCCCTCTCGGTTTAAAATATCCGAACACCAATTTCTGGACATCTTTAACAACTTAGGTGACTACTTCATTGTTGCAGGTGACTATAACGCCAAACACTCACTGAGGATCACCCCCAGGAAAAAACAGTTGTATAACGCCATCATAAACGCAAAAAGAAAGCTTGACTACGTTTCTTTATGCAGACCATCATACTGGCCGACCGACCCGTAAAAAATCTATACCGGATCTATCAGCTGACCACTCGTGAGTCCTGCTAAATCTGAATGTCTTCCAACGCCTTGAAATCCAACGCCCTGGATCAAAAACAGAAAGTATATAAGTTCACACATTGAACTGAATCCAGGCTAAACTCAGATGCCGACATAGAATCCTCAGCATACACCCTGGAGAGCGTCTTAGGTGCAGCTGAGCTCCAATGGGAACTGCACCTCGTAGCGCTAGAATGACAAACCTAGACACCGAGCGGCTTGTCCTCAAAAAAACGACGTATGCGATGGGAGTGGCTGGATCTCATATCGCAAAGCAAAGATTTAAAAGTGCTTCACTCCAATACTCCAATCCGCTGAAGCAGAAAATAAGAACTCCCAACGTCGCTATATAGAGCAACTATCAACATCAAGCAGTAAAAACTCACTATGGAAAGCTCGCATCGCAGTTTAACGCCACCAGCATACATTATGTCACCTTTAAGAAATATCGCATGTGGATGGGCCTGAAGCGACAAAAACAGAGCTACATATGTCATATATGTTCAACATGTGTTCCAGACAAACCCTGCTACAAATTTGTTTTTATTAACAACGACGTAACAAACGACGACCGTGCACCACATGAGCCAATCAAATTTCGTGCGAATGAAGAAAACTATAAAGAATCAACTTAATTTAAAAAAAATCCCAAGAATGTATCTAATAACTGCTAAGATGATTATTGAGCTTCCATACTGTGCTGAATGCACTTTTTTTTCCTACTATTACAAAAGAAGGATACTTTCCAGAGAGATGGAATCATAGTAATGATACCAAAGACAGGAAGCCATAAGCCTATTGCCTAATCTTTTGAAATTATTTGAAAAATATCCGATACCCCCTGCTTGAGGATATGTAACCTTATTTCAGCGCATCAGTTCGGTTTTCAATATTAACATGGAACCTCAAAAATACGCACTGCTTTCGAAAAACGGGAATATTTAAGCTTTACGCTAGTAGCCTAATTGGCTTATTACCTTTCTGTCTGGACCACAGGGTCTTTGTGTATAATTCCGTATTAAAAACAATCTGGACGTACTGATACCAACTATGGGGAAGTGCCGAACTGGCCATGTCCGTCTGTCCGTATGAAAGTCGAGTCGAGATCCAAGCAACTATAAAAGCTAGGAAGCGGAGGTGAGACATGCACATTCCAGAGACATAGACGCAGCGCCAGTGTGTTTAATGACGCTGCCAGGCCCACTCCAACCCTCACAAACCGCCCAAAACTGCCACGCCCACACTTTTGGAAAATATTCATATTAAATTTTTATGTAAGTCTTGTATATTTATATCGATTTTGATTTGAAGTCATTGGCAGGCTGCCCACACGCATACTTGATTTGTTTACAGACGTTGTTAACTTATGTCTGGGACAACAATAATATGGATCGAAAAGCGAGAGCACTGACGGGCTCTCTAATAAAACATATATTTCTTGTTGGACCTAATATTTCTTACTAAAAAATTAATAACTTAATTAATTAATAATAAATATTGTCCTTTTATCTTCAATGAAAGTTCTTGAAATATTAAAAATGCCTTGGCAGAATTTTGAAAATTTGATATAAGGAAATATATTAATTTTTAAAGTAACTTACCGATAACGACATTGGGGACCAATGCCTGGGTTCCAAAATAAGTGAAAGGCCCGCTTTCAAACATTAGCGCTTCCTTGCCAATTGTGACTTCTACACGACCCTCCAATATAAGTACAAAAAAGTCGACAGCTTTTCCTTGTGTAAAAATATAAAGGCTTGGATCATCTTTACTCTTTCCTTTTGTTTTTATATTGTGAAACACGTCTTGATTAAGTAACCTCCGCAAAATGAGTTCAGAAATAACATCATTTTTAAATGCATCGACAGCTAAAAGTTTCGTTGTTAAGTTAAAAAATTAAAAGATAAATTTAAAATATGTATTACCAGTGCTAAGGTATTGGAAAGTAGCCAGTGTTAATTGAGGAGATATCCGAACAGTTTGCACTTCCCGACGTTCAGCAAATGCTGAAAAGTCTGCTTTTTTGTATCTGTTCCTTCTGGTTTTCGTACGGTTGTCAACAAAAACATCGGTTTCGTCAACAATTTCAGCTTGAATCAGTTCTTCAATTACATCTTCGAGAGTAACTAGCCCGACAGTTTCATAAAAGGGATCACCATCCCCTTCATTATTTACGCGGTGCACAAAAGCAATGTGACCAATTGTTCCTTCTTTGAATTGATTAAACATAATATCCAGGGTGTAATCTTCAAATACGAAATGAACAGGATTTTGGTAAAATTCGCAAAGCGTTTTTAAAGGAGTGTTATCATCAGTATCAACAAATGCCAAATCTTTAATATAAAGTAAAGTCACAATGTTCTTTCTATCACCATCGTACACCGGAATACGAGAATAACCAGAATTCATAATTTCTGACACAGTTTCAAAATCAAGTAGCGCATCCAATGACAGCATAAAGGCATCATTTATATGCGTCATTACGTCCGCAACAGTTTTCTTACGCAATTCTAGAGCTCCGGATATAATGTTTACCTCATTTTTGTCGAGATCATTTACATCGTTTGTGACCTACATTTTTAATATTTATAAATTATTAAAAAATATTGACAAATAAAATATTATTTTTACTCACACGAACAAGTTCTTTTAAACGTTCTCGGTTGTAAACATTACCAATTTCTTCGCCCAATAATTTATCAAGAATACGCGAAACCGGATAAGATAGTGGTGCTGTAATAGCCATAACGGTTTTCGTTACTAAAATGGTCTTGGCTCCAATTGCCAATCCATGCCTTGAACACACTGCCTGTAATTAAAGAATAGAAATTTAGTGCAAAAAAAGAGTAAAACAGTCGAGTTCCAAAGCTTGTTACTCAACTGAGAACGAGTAATCGGGTCATTTTTGTGTTTCGCTAGACAGAAATAATATTTACGTCTCTACTTAATTTACTTAAATGGACTTTAGACTGGGCATGAACTTTTTTGTCGGCTTGTGAGTGTTACAGTGGTTGTGGTTAAAATTTAGTTGTCATATTGATAGGAAGCAAGGCTTATGGAAAATAATAAAATAAACAAATAATACTTTAACAAGTAGCCCTGCGTCGGCGCCACTATAATCTGTATTCCCAATATCAATCACCGAGAGATCCCGACATTTACAGAAACAGGAGATGGACGGTCAAAAGTACATAGCCAGATCGACTCGACGAGTGACCCTCGTCAATAATATATATGCTTTATAGAGTAAGACATACTTCATTCTACCTATTATATACTCCTCTAAGAAATGTCCGTATGAACGCCTCGTTCTCAGGATCTATAAAAGCTATAAATTTGAGTCTAACCATGTAGATTCTAGAGATATTATATCTACATTTTGGCACGACTATTCTAACGCCCACAAACCGTATATAACTACCACGACCACACTTTTGAAATATGCTTTGTTTTTATTCATTTTATTTTTTGTTGGTATGCCTAAACATAAACACCCAATTTTACACCCACAAGCCGCCACAATTTTAAAAAATTTTTTTGCGAAGGAGGCTGGATTGCGAGGCTAGGGCAGTCAGGTTAAACGGAAGGACGGGCACAAAGAGGATGTACGGTGAATTAACAGGACATTGTTGAACATTGGATTCGAGCGAGCCATGTGCAAAAGGGAGGCAAAGGGGGGCGTCTCTATGAAGAGACGATGCGGGCCCAGATTGGGATTAGTTAAAATCCCAATAAATTAGAAAATCCGTAAATGAGGCCTGTCAGATAAAATGTTCCGCGGTGTTCTGCGAACAGCTCATCGTCCAACAAAAGAAATAGGAAAGGTTTTTAGATATATGCAAGTCCAGCTTATGTTCCGACCTTTGCTGCTCCTCGTAGTCTGCTGTGCGGCAGTCTCCCATGGCGTCGCTCATCGCTCATGGCGTCCAACAGACAACCTGGACTAGTAAAGGGTTAAGAAAGGTGTTACGTCTGTATGGTCGAATTGAAAATCTCTCATGTTTCTCTCGCAGGACGCTGGTAAAGCGAACGTGTTTTTCTGACAGCAATGCACACACACGCCAGTGAATTGATATATTTTTCTATTGCATCCTACAAGCGTTGCCTTTTCTTGCGTCTACTGTTAATTCTTCACTTACGAAGTGATCGACTTCTACACAGATTGGATTCCCCTAACGATGATCTTTTTGCACTCAGACCGATCGAGTGCTCGTTCTTTTTATGCTTGTCCAAAGTCTAAACATTTATCGTTTGACCTCTTCTCCCGTAGCCGGCGAAAGTCTAATGTCCATCGCGAGACCAATATTTCACGGCCTATGCACCCTGCTGAGGCCCTTAACTTTACTTCTTAGCTATTTGTCTCGACTCCTTCGTTTAAAATAACCTTTAAATTAAACGGAAGGTGTAAGACAGCACATCCTCTTGGACACACAATCTTTTCTATACAAACGTAGGGACAAGACTATTGCAAATATAGAAGCTGCAATACAAATCTGCCTATGCATACTGCATCAGTTTCTGCTAAGAACGAATGTAATGCAACCATGGCCTTGGTCCTTAAAAAAACAATACCCAATACACAATGGAATCGAGAAGTCAACTTCAAGTATCAAAACCGATTCCACTTACACCAAATAAAAATCCAGCTACATCCTAGAAAACTTATTTAAGAGAGAAAAAAAACTAGAATAAAGTTTTGTCAAATGGGACAAGCGATATTTGTAACCGATTTTCAGATAGTTCTGTAATCAAACTGATATTTTGGCTTTGATGTGTAAACTAAACCACTCTTGGTTTTTTAAAATTTATATTAACTAAAAACCTTTCAATTTTGCACTCCGTTAAAAAAAAAATTAAATTTGCTTATCATAACTAAAACAAGAGAGAATGATATAGTAGAGATCGTTACTCAGCTAGTGGATTTACGAACTCTAGGTAATTTCAACATTTTCTGGAATATCGGTAGAATCTGTGAAACAAAATTATAAAATTAATAAAAATTCACATTTTTTCAAAAGTGGGAGTTCTGGGCGGTATGTGGGCGTTAGGGTGGGCGTGGAAGCATAATTTTACTAACTTGCGTAATCTCAACTTTCTAGCTTTTACAGTTGCTAAGATTTCGTCGCTCATACGGACGTACGGACATTGCCAGATCGAGTCGGCAATGCTTCCTTCTACCTGTTAAAAACTTTTCAACGAATCTAGTATTTTAGTAATACTATCTAGTATACGAGTAACGGGTATATATAGTTGGAATTTAAAATATATGATTTCCAATGTACCGGCAGTTCTGTAACGTGTTTATAAATAACTGTTTTTTATTTCAAATATAAACAAGTTAACACGAGCCAACGTACTCAGTGCATGATATAATATATAATATCGATGTGCTGACCCAGCATTGGCCGGAAACCCTTGCGCAGCCGGCAAACACAGCATATTTGCGTGGCCGCTGCGAGTCTTTGTTAGCTTTAAGAATTATTTTAAGTTTCAGTTTGAAGTTGTATTCACCAGAATAAAGCGAGAGCTCGTCAGCTTACTGCGACTAAACGTCGTAAAACATATCTCTACTATTTACTCTTCTTCCAGACCACAAGGCTGGTGGTTAAAAGAGGATAGTTCCTCTCAACGTAAACAATAATCTTATTCTGCTACCCCGGAACACCCGAAGCAGCCGGCCCCCCCCCGGAAGGAGAAAAACCTGACGGATAACAACATCGCAAGACGGTGCGAATCATCATTAATTAATTTTCGCTCAACTAGTGGTAAAAACCACCACCCACACAGCTTCTGAAATTGTTGCCCAAACACTGGCGGCAAAGCAAAGGCAGCGGCGCGTGATAAGTGAAGGAAATAAGTGACGGAATAACACATACACTGAAAAAAAAATCATGTCAGTGGTCCCCAATGCTAAGCGCATTTTAAGTCTGTTAATATTTTTATGTGCCACGAACCGCTGCACAGAAGCGTTTCTTAAATTAAAAAATAATACAAAAAATTATTAATCAGCGACATTGTTACAGCCAAAAAATTATTAACCGAAATTATTTTAAACAAAAATAAATTATTATTTCAGCAAATAAACATGGTCTCATATCAAAAAAAATAAATGATAAATAAATGAATAAAAGTAAAAAGTTATTTTGTATTACATTTTGTATAACTATTTTGTATAACAGCGCATACGTTCGCGTTTCATTTATTATTGTTGTTTTATGTTTTCTTTCGATTCAAGCGCCACATTCGACGCCGCAGCCTTTGTCTTTATTTATTGTTTGTTCGTCTTTGGTCACCCACACAGGCACCTTTTGCATACCCAGGCGAATTGGACCGCTCATGCAGCCCGGATTCTCACAATATAGGAATAATTAACCAAACTCCACCGAATCAGATTCCGATAGCGAAAATCAAGCTTCTTCTCTAAGACGTGAAAAATATTGTGCGAAAAATTCCGAGTTGTCGCTTTGCGTATTTTCATTTTGGGACTTAAACGCAACCTTTCTGACGTGCTTTTCGCGGCAAAGCGAAAAGACATGCCGTCGGCCCTGGCCTTAGCGCAAGAAGTGGAATCTAACCACGAGAGGTACGTTTTTGCAAAAAGGAATACAAAGATCGCAAACCTACTGCAAAAACGCACGGTCGTCAACTTGACAAGTACGACCACCTTCACCGACAACAAAATAATGCCAAAAATCCGTATTTCAATAGGCAGCATAAATGACAGGTTCACGCCGACCCGCACAACCCCAAAAATTACAACAACAACATCAGCACATCAGCCTAAGGAGGTCGACCCCTCATTTTCTATGTTGCTGCAGCCGACCCAGGCAACTGCCAACCAGAACAGAAGACAATCCACCTCTGAGCGCACAGGCGCTATAAGAAAACAACAAATAAATTAACTTCATTACCAAAATGCAGAAGAAAAGACATGAGCATATGCCGCCGCCGCCTCCAAAGCGGAAGCGATTATGATTGATTGGCGAGTATGGTTAACTCACATTTCAAAATTCATTAAATTCTTGGCGCCACCACAGTTACAAAAAAATGCTTCGTCTCGATCTTTAATTTGAAAGCGACCTTTTTCATTCTACCAGATTTTACACTATTCGATGGAATAATCAGGGCCGAATTAACACAGAGCTGCGCAGCACTTTGCCTTGCTTCCGCACAACTCAAATGGGGTAAGGAGGTTGAGAAGATGTCATTCCAAAAATGCCCTGACGTCAACTTCACTAACGTGGAGTGCGCAGATGCACCACCTTTGGTAAAGAAAGGATTTATGATAAAAACCCGAAAAAACGCCTTCGCAAATCCCAAGGAGGCCTACCATATAACACATCGGTAGTGGCCACGATTAGAACGACTAGCGACGAGCCCACTTACGCCAAATTATATCCATACCCCATGGAGGCAACAGATTTCGTCAACGACGAGATCCAAGACCTGCTTAAAAATGGTATAATTCAGAAGTCGGTGTCTCCTTATAACAACCCAACATGGGTGGTTGACAAAAAAGGAACCGACGAGGCCGGCAATCAAAATAGACGATTAGTCATAGACTTTCGTAAGATAAACGAAAGGACTATCCCGGACAAATACCCGATGCCAGATATCTCCATGACATTGGGCAACTTGGGTAAGGCCAAATTATTTACGACACTGGCTCAAGTCCGGGTATCACCAAATCGTTTTAGCGGAACATGATTGCGAAAAAAATTCCTTCTCCGTAAGCGGAGGAAGTACGAATTCAAGAGGCTTCCCTTTGGCTTAAGAAATGCTGCCAGCATCTTCCAGAGACCTATTGAT